TCAAACTCTAAAAACACAGACACAGGCCAGAGACAAGGATTTAAGCAAAAAGACCATAATCTGAAAATTGGCCCCAATACTTATGTTACCATATTGCTGGAGAGTGGAGGAAAGAGGATAATAAAGGAGGCACTGTAAGAGAGGAGGTAGTACTAGGCCTCAAATCTCTGTAATTTTACCTCACATGTCCACTGTTCAATCCTAGCTTTTAAATGTAAACAAAAGGGTATTACAGCATAAATTTCAACTGTATACTGACAATACATATAAGGCTATGAGTAGGCTTAGGGAAATTAACTGCTTCCTACTGACACTTTCCTAAACTGCCACAGTATCCAGTCTTGGAACATCAGCAGTTCCCATGAGCCCCTCAGGCTTGGGAATATTCTGTTAGAAAGAGGACACAAACTTATCAAGGTGAGGCAAAAGATAATCAGGAAGGAGGAAACTCTGGAGATGTCCCAGGGCTAAGATAAAGGACATCAATACAGGACAGAGACCTTGTTCTAAGACTGGTTGTTCCTGCTTTCTGGAAAAGCACTGAATCATGGTGAATCACGGTGAATCATGAATACACTTGAGCAGAAGATGCTACATGACCCCTGATTCACTATAATAGCATTATAATAAATTAACATTGTGTGACCCCCCTTCTCAGGTGGCCAATCAAGGAAAATCATGGGAGGTCACATGCACAGTAGCTTTAAAGTAATATAACTACTTGTACATGTGCAATAAAAGCTTGCCTAAACTAGCCAGGAAATATCTGCCCTATATGAATAGAATTCCTCCAGCACCAGAGGGCAATCTCTGCTTGGAGTTGGCCTGCTCCCATGTTCTGTGGAGTGTACTATCACTTAATAAATCTGCTCTCTCTCTTTCTCTTATAAACTCTCTGTGTTTGGTTCTTTGTCTGCAGTCACCAAGAACCTGGTTACCTGTGCCCACCTGTGACAAAGGGATGCTACCTGGGATGAGTGAGACCAAAGGAACAAGTCCTAAGAAGTGGATAGAGAGCAGAACAGATGGAAGACATCAAAGTGTCTGCAGAGGGGAACCCATGGGACCATCCACTAAGCAGTTTCTGCAGATGTTTCCCAGGAAGATCCTACTCTGAGGCCCAGGACTGTAAATGGAGGGAATCTCAGATGAAGCAGCAACTTTTGTATTCCTAGATGGGATGGACCTGCTGCCTGGGGCTGAGATCCAGAGATTCTCTAGGGTGTTGAGAAGCTTGGCATTATCCCAATGACAAATCCTCTGTCAGGGGCCAAAAGTACCTAGGTTCTCTCCTCTTGAGTCTGTCTCCCAACCCCCTTCCCTAGAGCTGCTCAAATTGGGATTCATTCTTCTCTTGCATCTCCAGGCACCTGGAGCCTTGGAACATTAGTTACATGTTTCCCCACTCCTTCTCTCCCACCCCCTCCCAATTTTGAGCTGGTCTCAGTAATTCCCATCCTCTGGAAAATACACACAGAAAATAGAGTAAGTAGCAAATAGGTGGGAGGACAGAGTTCCTATCCTAACACCCACTTTTCCAGAGCCAGCATCAATAGATTATACAAATTGTGTGTTCATGAATTATCACTTCACAATTTCCTTTCTCTGGGATCCCCGATGCCAACTCCCTCCATGTGTCCACTTCCCCCACCCACAAAAAGAAACACAGAATCACACAGCATTAAGCAGGGAGCATGGGGAAAAGGGACAGGTGTTCAGGAAGCAGGGAGAGCAGGAAGGTCCCAGGCACCTCCTGTACCAGGATCCAGTCTCAACCACCATCTGCAGAAGCCACTTCTGAGCCTCACACCCACCTCCTCCTTACCCATCTCCTCCACCAGCAACCACCATTTCTCTCCATGTGTGCCTCCCACAGGATGACTTTCTGCTTCTTGAGCTCTTGGACAAAAGATAGACCCAGCTAAGATGCTTGTGATTGCCTGCAGTATTGTTTCCTCTACCAATAAATGCTATAATTCTGGTCACCTGAGACTAGTTTTCAGGCTAGTGTAGCACAGGGAGACAGCCACCCACCCACCCTAACATCCTACCATTCATTCCTCAGCAGTCTGTCAATCATCAGGTGTGCATGTACTTCCCCATCTCTTTGTCTCTTTTTGTCCCTTTTCTTTTTTTTAACTTTTTAAAAGAATTTTTTAGGATGCTATCCATTTATTTTTAGAGAGGGAAGGGAGGGAGAAAGAGAGAGAAAAAAAAAATCAATATGTGGTTGCTGGGAGCCATGGCCTGCAACCCAGGCATGTGCCATGACTGGGAATCGAACCTGCAATGCTTTGATTCACAGCCCGCGCTCAATCCACTGAGCTACGCCAGCCAGGGACTTTTGTCCCTTTTCCATGGGATACACCTCTGGGCCAGCTCAAGGGTGAGCATGGTCACATGACCCACTGTCTGCCTGCACAGGACCATGCAGTCAGCTCGTTGGCCACATTCCTGAAGCACCAAAGAGCAGAATTTTCTGCCTCTGGGGTTGAGTTGCTTGCTAGCAGAACCTGCGGCTCCAGACCAAGGTGAAGATAGGGAGCTGAAGGAAGGCTGGATTTGTAGCCAAAGCTTCCAGCCCAAGGCCTGGGCCTTGTTCTGTGGGAGCCCAGGGCTGACAGGGAACACTGAACCAGGAGTTTGGAGACGAAGTGACATTGCACATTCTGTCTAAAACTCAGAGTGACATGTTAAACATACACACAGGATGTGTCCTGAAAAATATTGCTAGGCAAAATAAACATTCAAATTTCAGTTTCCACCATCAGCGTGATTCCTCTTAACACTGTGGTTGGTTTTAGAAGGGAGGCAAAATTGCCACTTTGCCCTATTTCCATAAACCAGCGATTTTCAACTGGCGTGCCACAAGAATTTTTAAAGCATACAATACCTGCTTATTTAGTCAGGGGCACCGACTATTTTCCTAGATTGTCAAATAAAAAATGACAACAGCCAACTCAATAGCTGTCTGGTGCGAATGAATCAAAATTATACCTATTTTTTGTCAGATCAGCAAAAAAGATATTTTTGGTGTGCTGCAGAATTTTAGTAATTAGTTTATGTGTGCCATGAGATGAAAAGGGTTGAAAATTGCTGCCATAAACCTTGCATATTATAATGAGAAAAAAGCATGTTGCACTGTCAGAAAAATTACTCAAAACTTGAGTAAAGGCAACATAGGTCACTGGATATTATTTCAGTGCAGGGCTAGGCTTCTCTTTCTTTTGATTGAGCAAGTTTTCCAATCTGAGAGGCTGATGTTAACCTATATTTTGTGCAATAGATATGAAATTGATTTCCATCCAGTGAAACAGATAACATCAATGGCTATAATTTATTGCCCTTAAGATACTATCGTTTTGTATTTAACCCAGCAATGTTATCCTAACATTTTCTATGCATGTATGAAATTTAACATACTGTTTTATTATATTGTATACACACATCTCATTTACATACTCTTAGAAGTTCTTCATTGTGTTGAGAAATCTTTCATGTGTTCATTTCTAAGTCACAATTTAATTTTTTCAAAAATTAACATCATCCTCAGACAAAACAGAAACATTTCTACCATAACTAAAACATAATAAAGCATATTTCTCACAAGTCTGGACTCCCTGTCCAAACCAATTGTGTCCCCGACTTCTGCAATTTCTATCTGAAGGTATGGTATAACTTATTTTCAGTTATTATTTTGGAAAATACACATTACATAAAATCATTTTTTAGTGAATAACTCAGTGGCATTAAGTATATTCACAATATTGTGCAACCATCACGGCAATCTATTTCCAGAACTTTGTTGTTACTCCAAAAGGAAATGCTCTTTTGAATGTAAGCCATGTAAAAAGTTGCAACTCTCCCTGACTGGCGTGGCTCAGTGGATTGAGTGCCAGACTGCCAAGTAATGGGTTGCTAGTTCGATTCCCAGTCTAGGGTACAGGCCTGAGTTAGGTGCCAGGTCCCCAGTAGGGGGCACGCTAGTGGCAGTCACACATTGTTTCTTTCCCTTTCTCCCTCCTTTTTTTTTTTTTTTTTAAAGAGAGAAACATCAATGTGTGGTTGCTGGGGGTCATGGCCTGCAACCCAGGCATGTACCCTGACTGGGAATCGAACCTGAGACACTTTGGTTCGCAGCCTGCGCTCAATCCACTGAGCTACGCCAGCCAGGGCTTCTCCCTCCCTTTTCGTCCTTAAAAAATAAAATCTTTTTAAAAATGTTGCAATCTTTGTACTGTCAAGAGACTAATATAAACTTAGCAACCTTGATAACTTATTTTTCTTTAAAGCATTTCAATTAAAAAGCTAGTTTTTCTTAAATCTCACTGGGGCCCACTTTTCTTTCCAACTTACTCTAAGTGATTTTATCTCTAAAAATTTCTTGTAACACATATAGTTTATTCATTTATATAACTATCTTTTCCAACATGTCTACCTGTAACTTAAGGCATTAGAAAAATATTTTATTTTGGCCCTGGCTGGCGTAGCTCAGTGGATTGAGCACGGGCTGCGAACCAAGGTGTCACAGGTTCGATTCCCAGTCAGGGTACATGCCTGGGTTGCAGGCCATGACCCAAGCAACTGCACATTGATGCCTCTCTCTCTCTCTCTCTGTCTCCCTCCATTCCCTCTCTAAAAGTAAATAAATAAAATCTTTTAAAAAAAGAAAAAATATTTTATTTTAAAAATCCCTGTCTTGTTTCCCTGATGTCTCTGAAATGTTTTTTTGCATTGTAGTTTTTATTCCAGACTATGTAATATATGAAATTTCTTAAAAAGTCATTTTATAATTTCATAGAAGTTTTTTACTCACAAATTTTAAAATGGTACCAATTTTTCTTTTTTAAAAAAGATTTATTTTTAGAGAAAAGGGAAGGGAGAGAGGGAGAGAAACATCAATGTGTGGTTGCCTCTCAGTGCTCCCCCTTACTGGGGACCTGGCCCACAACTGGGAATAGAACATGTGACCCTATGGTTCACAGGCTGGCACTCAGTCCATGGGCCACACCAGCCAGTCCTCTATTTTTCCATAATGTTCTTCTCTACTTTACCAGACATAAAAGCATGTGTCATCTCATGCCAATAGGTCATTTTTAATAGATGCATACTATTTCTTTAATACTTGCCTTGGACTAGGATCACAAAAAAAATCTTATTTCTGACTCCATTTAATTGTTATGCTACCCTATTATTTCATTCTTTTGGTGGCACTGAAGCAACACCTGTCCTTCGAGTTGTAAAATTTGCAGATTTGGCTGATTTAGTTCTCCAAACTGCCCTCATTCTAACCACATCCCTCAATAAACTTGTTTCACCTACTCCAGGGAGACAGGATACATCCAGGATACTAAAACAGATTTTCCAATTACACACTTTTTTTCACACTACTGCTGCTCACTTACAAGAATGGCCTAATGGTTTGTCTTATCCTACCCTTCAGTGACCAATTTAAGTGGGTCCCTCTTCTCTAAAACATTTTTCAAGTACCACAACCTTCAGTAATCTCTTTAAGCTCCAGGAATGGAATTTTCCAATGAGGGTATGCTTACCATACTTCTAATTATCTATGTTGGTTAAGTGTGCATAATGAATCTGCACCTGGATTTTAAACTGAAGGGTCACTTCTGCCAATTGTCACACAGAACTTTATTGAAAATACACTCAAATACAGAACCACATGTTTAAACAACAAATAGCAGTGTAGTTTACATAGGTGACTCAGTTCATTGGACGCTCAATACTGAAAAATACTGCAATCTGGACAGCAAGACAAATATGAACAAATGTGTTCAGCTCTAATATTCATTTGGCATCCACAAAATGACCAGCTCAAGCCAAGAATTGGACAAAGTTAACATCAGCATAAAAATATAAGTTACAACATACAATCAAACTGAAAACCAAAGCACTACTCAGGGCTTTAGGGGAACATAAGGCTGATCACAGACAGGTCAAACATATTAGTTTGGTTGCCCCCCCTCAGGATCGTTTTGGTTGTCTATTTGGGTTTGTAGTTCCTTAGCCAAGCTCTCAAATTCATGGAATGCAGAAATAAGCGGCTCAAGACTGAACTCATCATCAATTGAGGCCATTGTTCCATTACTTATAATATTACTGATATTTTGAAACATTTTAATAACAATTTGAATATTATCGTGTGACTCTTCCAAGTTAAAAAGACCCACAAATACTGATAGAGCTTTAGCACTGAATAGCTTCTTTGCCACCATAGGATTTTCAGACAAGTTCAACAGTACTTTCAGAATGCAAAACTTTGTTGTTGCATCTCCTGTCACTAATAGGGTGAGAAACCCAGACATAAAATTAGCAACCAGTGTGTGATAGTCAGTAGTCATAGTGAGGTGCCTCAGTAGCCTTAATCCAAGCAGCTGCTCAGGGGAATCCACACTTTGTGCAAGGGTTTCCTCACACACTTGACATATGAATGTCTCAATCATGTTTAGATTTGGATAAGGTGGAGCCATGAGAATCATATTTTCCAAAAACCTTGTCCGAACTCGGGAAGAGGGATAATTGAGCAAGGTTTCAATAAGTGAGACAACACCTGAATCCCGAATGAAATCTCGGGTAAATTGAGAAGCACTTCTCATACCCATTGCAATTTTAAATATTTCCTGAATAAAAGGATCTCGAACTTTTTCCATTAACAGAAGGAGTTCCTCAAACTCTCCAGAGCTGATTTTAAGCTCACACTGTATACAGCTGCAGGACCAACTCTCAGGCTGTGCACTGTCCCTGGTCCTAAGATGATCCCGAATTTCCCTGACTGACCGGTAGGATGGTTCATACTGAAATGTGAATTGAGGTTCAGGCTGATTGGCCTCATCTTCACCTTCTGATGTAAGTTCCGCATTCTGGGGCTTTCCCTCAAACATTTCAGCAAATGCAGAGGATGCTTCTTCAGGAATTCTAAAGGAGCTTGGGGATGGGAAGCCAATCCTATGACAAGGACCAGGTTTGAATTCAACAGTGACCTCTTCCCAGGTTTTGGGCCTGGATGATGCCTTAATTTCCTCCTCAGCTGAATCTCTGAACCTGGAACTAGCCCTGTACACAGGATTGGGATTTAGGTCAAAGCAGGCCTCATCCCTGTCCCAGAACCAAGACCCAAATATGGCTTCTTCTTCAGACTCCTGCCTGGTCTCTTCTCTGGCTACAGCCCCCAAATTGGACTCAGGTTCCTCAGTCCAGAACAAGGATCCACCAATGGCCCCCTCCTCAGCCCCTGGGGTGGATTCACAGATGGCTGAAGCCCCAGCCTCCACACCAGCCTCTTTCTCTGCCCAGAACCAGGACCCAATGATGATGTCCTCCTCAAACCTGGGGTCCGGTTTGACCCTATCGCTGTTATTAACATCTTTCTGGGCCCTGGGCTTCAAGTCAGTATTAGGCTCTTCCTGATCTCTTGGCCTGAATCTACTATTGGTCTCTTCTCCAGGCAAAAACCAGGACTCCTTATAGTATTCATCTTCAGACTCAGACTCAAAAAAATCCTCTCTCTTTGTCCTGAGTTTGGACCTAGTATTTGTCTCATCCCTGACTCTGGGTCTGAACAAGTTATTGGTATCTTCTCCAGGCCACAAGCAGAATGGGTTGCTAGACTCCTCCTCAGACCCTGACCAGGAATCAATATAGGGATCTTGCTTGGATCCAGGCCTGGACCGGAAGTTAGGCTGATGTTTAGCCCTGTGCCTGGACCTGGTATTGGCCTCTTCCCTGGGCCATGATCTGACACTGGCCTCTTCTCCAACCCAGAGAGAAGAAATAGTAGAGGTCTCATCTGCTGACCAGAATCCAGATTCGTTAGAGGCTTCCTCTCTGGCCCTGAGCCTGGGATAACACCAAGAGCCTGTATTAGTTTCATCCCCTGATCCGAACCAGGATTGAATTCCTGACTGAACCTGGGAGCCAGGAAAGGTCTCAACATCCACATTTACCAGTTCTCTATCTACAGACATGGCCACAGGTTTATCAACTGATTCAGATTCAGTACTGACCAGTGGCCAGGCTGCTGCACTGGTCTGGGGCATACCCTCTGTTTGGGACATTGCCTCGGCCCCGAGCTCAGCCTGTGCCGAAGCCTGGGCTTCATCTTTGGGCCTTGCCCCAGGGATTGCCTTGGCCTCAGTTTTAGGGCATGCCCCACCTATTGCCCTGGCCTCGGATTTAGGCCTTGCCCTAGCCATTGCCTGGAACTCAGTTTTGGGCCTTGCCCCAGCCATTGCCTGGGCCTCAGTTCTGGGCCTTGCCCCAGCCATTACTTGGAAATCAGTTTTGGGTCTTGCCCCAGCCATTGCCTGGGCCTCAGTTCTGGGCCTTGTCCCATTCATAGCTTTTGACTCGGTTTTGGGTCTTGCCCCAGGCACAGCCTGGGCCTGGGCCCTAACTTTGGGTCTAACCACCATCGGAATGTCATTCTCTCTCTCAGCCCCACCTCCAGCCTCTTCTCCAGCCTTCTTTCCAGGTTTGGCCTGGGCACCAGGTTCAATCTCAGCCCCAGTCATAGTACCAGTTACAGAAAAGACACAGTTAAACACCAGTAACACAGTCCCAGCCTCTACCACTGAAGTGTCACAGTTTTGTATCTTCACACTCCGATCTTTCAATGATTCAGACAATACAGTTGGAAAATAGTCAATCACCAGTCCAGCAGTTAATTAGCCTCTGTCCCAAGACCAGCCTCAGCCAATATTACAGGCAGAATTCAGAAGAGGCTGGAGGAGGATGGATGGTTCCCAGGTGGGTGTTGATCTGTTGAGGGTGGTGATTAACAGCAACTGCAACACCACCAGAGCTGCCACTAGAGGTGGATCTAAGGAGAGAGAGCAGTATGGGGCGCTTTAAGTCTCTTCCAATTGTGTCACTCCAAACAGATACCCACACAGAGACTGGAACTTGAATTCTTGGTAGGACTGTAGGGCTGTTAGAAAGTATGTCACCTTTATTTACCCAGAGCTGCTACACACTTGGTCTACCACAAAATAGGTATAAGATTGGTGGGAAAGTATGTTGGCAGTAGGGCTAAGGAGCCCCCAGATTAGACCCTAATCACTCTTGGACCTGTTAGTCTCCATTATTCCACCCTAGTTTGTGCCCACTCCCATACCAACCTGCTCTGACGTGGTGCAATATCGCCCTCCTTGCTTTGTTCCAGTTGTATTAAGCCCTACAGCAGACAGCAGGCTGTCCTATGGACAAGTTAACATACAAGAGAAAATGGATTCTGAGTACTTAGTTGACAGGCAGGCAGATGGCCTGACCTTTGATGCAAACATCTTTCTTTTTAAGGGTCAAATTTTTCTAATGTTTCCTGTCTCCTGGTTTCTGACCTCAGGTTTGCTCCCATTTACAGCCCAATTCACACCTACACAAATATTTCTAATACCTCCTGCAAGAAATGGATAAGGGAGGCTGGTGCAATGTGCAAATGTGGCAGAGCAGGAGAGGCAGATCACAAAGACTTGCTATGATCTTACTCTGTAACTGTCCCCTGCATTGTCCCTCTTTGCACCAACCTGCAGAAAATTGATCCCGTTTCGTTCTCCTCTCCTTCCTTGCAGAAAGTTACCAGCCTTAAAGTAAGCCTACAGACACACAAAAAGATAAAACAATCAGGAGACCATTATAGCAAACTGACCACTTAGTGGACAGACCAACACCAATGATGGGAGTCCAGAGTCTTCTTGGTTGAATATTCTCATTTAATTAAGGCCTTCTGTGTCAGGATTCCAGATAATCATATCTTTTCTTGACGTAATAATCTTCCCATTACTCCCTTCTCTAATTCTGAGTATTCACCACTAGGTGCACCTCATCCCTTCGCCTTCTGCAGAATAACTTGGGGGATGGGCGCCCACATATTCTAGAAAACAGGTTGTGCAGCGGTGCTTGTAATTATGAATCTGTTTCACCCTTGCCTCTGAACCCATCTTTTCCTGCCCCCAATTTTGGTTGGAAATAAGGCAAGAAAGCAAGGAAATTGCCTAGAAGCTGGTACACAGGGAAATTTTAAGATTCCTGGATGCTTGACATGTTATGGTCTCAGTCACCCCCCTATTGGGGTCTCCAGTCAATGGTTGCTGCCCACCAACCCCCAACCCCACACACCTCCAGAAATCCACGCTATTTTCTTGCTCAACTTTTTCTCAAGCCGCTCCTCTTACAGATGCATCCTGCCGCCTGAAATCGCCAGACCTACTGCGCAGACAGGAGATTTGGGCATCAACGAGGTGCCTGTTGAAAGAGAGCACCCAGGACGCGGGGCCCAACAGGCCAAGCGCCCTTTCCAGAAATCTGAGGCCAGAGTAGCCCAACACCCCTCCCCCGGCATGCCCCCTCCAGCCCAGCTCCCGCTCCGCCATTTCTCCCGCAGCAGCCTCCCTCCCCCACAGCCCTCTCCCAGTACAGACACCATCGAAGGCAGGATGCGGGCGCCGGGAAAGATGGCTGGGGAGCAGCCTGCGTGATTCGCTTCCACAGGACCACTGGGAGTCTCTCTGGCCACACCAGCGCCCTGGACCCGGCCCCCGCCAGTCGCCGCCGCCTCCTCGCCAGGCTCCCCCAGCGCTGCGCACCTCTCTAACAAACCAGCTCCGACCGGCCGGGTCGCCTCCTCCTTGCCAGGCTGCCACAGCCTGGGCGAGGGCTATAAGCTGGTGCGGGGTGGGGCACCACCCTCGGCCCCCACCATACCCCCACTTGCCTTTACAGGCTCACGGCCGGGTGGTCATCTCCCCTCCTCTAGGAGCTCCTCAGTTAGCTTTCCACCTCTCTCCGTGCGCTCCGAACTGCAAAGAGGCGTCCCACCTCACCACCAACCTCTCCCGCGGACCGCTGCACCAAAACAGGCAGGTGTTGGGTAGGGGTTGCGCAGGATGCGACACAAACTGCTGGCAGCGAGGGTGTCGGGAAGAGGGGCGGAGGGATATGGCACGAATGGGCTGACGCCCCCTCGCAGCCCACTGTAGTTCCGACCGGGAGAAGGCGGGGCCGGGACCCAGGCCGGGGGCGGCAGGAACCGCAGCCTGCCTTTGAGGACCTACGAACCCCTCTACTAGGCGACCACCCTCACATTCCCGGCACTACAGTCTATGGGACCGGCGGGCCGGGGCCGGGATGCCGGATGCGGGATGCGGGATCGGGAGGTCAGAAGCAGCTGCGCTGGAAGCAGCAGCGGATGGATACAAACTCTCTCTTGGTGCCTGTGAATCGCCAGACTTCTCCCTCTGCCTACCTCCCCCTCCCCCATCCCACCAGCCAACCCTTCCAGGACGCAGATGGGGGAGGGGATGTGAGGACTGCGGGCTGGGAGAGGAGAGGCGATCTGAAGCCAGACCACCCCAGACGTCGTTGGGATAACCCCCAAGGTTTTCTTCTATTGTTCACGAGTGAGGGAGGGGAGAAAGTCTGGAGGGGGGCTTCCATGGAGACTTCACCATTTGGAGGGCAGACCTAGACCTCTAACTCTGGGAAACAGTCCACTGCTCTGCGCCCAGAGTCGTTCTTTCTGCCACAGTGCGTTTTCTCTCGTTCGAAGTGGTTACCCATGTTGCCATTTTGCAGTCCCCACAGTTGTCCAAGAGTTCCTTTCTCTGTCAGGACCCACACTGGTCCTGCAATCCTCCCTCTCTGTCGCCGCACAGCCAAGTGTCAAACACCAGATAGGAGAGGTCCTGGCTTTTCCTCCTCTGTTCTGTCAAGTCTTCTCCTTCTCTGTTCTGTCAAGTCTTCTCCTGCAGTCACATCCAAGCTCTCATGATGTTTGGCAGTCTGGAAATGTGGCAGGGATTAGAACCAGCTTGGACCTCAGCACTTCCCATAGGCACCTGTCTAGTTTGCCCAGTTATTCTTTGGGGAAGGTCCCAGCGGGATCACACTTCCCAAGAGAGAAACCTGGCAGTTCTTGAATCCTTTGGTTCCTTCGCCCCTACATTCTAACTCTAGTCTTGAGTCCTACTATTCTGTGCCATGGGCAAACAGCACAATCATGGTTAGGCACACCTGTGGTCGAACACAATCTTGTTGGCACTGTTCTCTTTTTAAAAGCCAATTAAACAACACCCCCACTGTGATAAATTGAATGAAGGTCCTCCAAAGGTGTCCACATCTAAATCTCTAGAATCTGTAAATATATGATGTCACAATGCAAAGGACAGTTAAGGTTGCTGAGGGAATTAAGATTACTATATAGTCAAATTTAAAGATTAAGGATATGCTGGATTATCCTGGCCAATGTGATTGCAAAGGTACTTTAAATGCGGGAGAGTCAGGCAAAAGAGTCGGTGTCACAGGGAAGTATCAGGAGAAAGACTACAGTCCAACAGGCCCTTGCTGGTTTTGAAGATGAAAGTGTAGCATCCAGCAAACGCGACAACAAATATCGGAGACTTTCAGGGTATCAAAGATGTTACTTTATTGGCCAAGTTTAACCTGCGCAGGGGCGAACTCTCAGTGTCCAGCGACACAGTGCCCACAAGGAGCTGCAAACGAGAGCCGCGCCGAGCGCTTACAACTACGTTCTTATATGGGGCGGGCAAGCAAGCGTTATACAGAAGCAGACGTGGCAGTTAGCAATTCGCTTACAAAGACCGTGCGGGAATTTCAAATCAAGCATTCTTGCATAAGGTGGGAAGGCAGGATGTTTGTTCATTAACCTAGTAATCTCCTGGCTCTAGCTAGCTAGTTTTCTATTTTCTCATTAAAAACTACAAAGCACTGCTTATCTAGCCTACCCAGGGGAGAGCATCTGCTCGACACAGGATGTTTGCTTAACTGCACTTTGTCTCTTTTATCATTTCTTTTTAGCTACAATGTGGTTCTTGTTTACTAAGGTTAAATTTAGTTCTTACTTTCCTTATTCCCAACAAAAGGAAGCCAGAGGCCAAGGAATACAGGCAGCTCCAGGAAGATGGAAAAGCAGGGAGACAGATTCTTCCTGTAACCCCTTGGAGGAATAAACTCTGATATCACCTTTATTTTAGACCAGTAAGACCTTTTGGTATTTCCAAACACCAGAACTGTAAGATAATGAATTTTTGTTATTTTTAAGACACTGAGGCTGTGGCAATTTGATACAGCTGCAGTAGGAGCCAAATTCACCGACCATCCTGATAAAGTCTATTTCCCTTGACTTTCTTTTCTTGGGCTTCAGCCTTGGGAGGATCAGTTTTGAGGCTTACCTCTTACCACTGTAACTGCCCTTTCCAGCAATTCCCTTCACTTTGTTTTCTAAAAAAGAGAAATTTTTGCAAGGGTTTTTGAGGCTCATGTTGCAGAAAATCCCTGTTTGCTAAAAATTAGTGATGTTTCCCAGAATGAAAAGGGAAGCATATTCTTACCATGAAACTTCATAGCAGCTTTTATTTGTTATTTATTATAATTGCAGTGTTTAGGTAACAGCAGGAAAAATCTGGAGATGATTGTATATATAGTATTTGAAGACAATCGATGTGAATTATCAGAGGACAGCCACTTTTTGTTAGAAATGCTCGAGAAATAGAGGCGAGAGGAACCAGGTGATCTGATCCAAGTGCCTTTATTTGATGCTGTGCTTACAGCAAGCTGAGTCAGGATCAACTCCAGCACGGTGGAAGAGGGAAGGCAAGAGTAAGGTTTTTAAAAGAAAAAGGGCTGGGTCTGTGAGGATAGGGGAGGGGTTAGTCTTTTGTTCTTCATGGGCAGGTGCCTGGGGCATTTCAGGATGTTAGCCAGGACAATGGGTTAGGTAAAGGGTGGGCTGTTCCCAGGTACAGGAGGGTCAGTCTGACCACAGGCCATTGTGACTGGTGCTGGATGTCTATTGTGAGAGGTGGGAGACAGTTTCCATTAAGCCTTGGGCTATCAGTTGAGTTGGGATAACTGAGTCCTGGGCAGTCCAGCCGTGTTGGAAAACTTGCCTGACCCTTTAACTTTTACTGTGCAGTTTTAATGGCTTTAGGTGAATTGTGGATTTTTCTTTGTTCTGCAGCATACTCTCTTGGTGAATACTAGGCTTTAAGAAGGGAGTCTGAGTGAGGCAGATTAGTAAGAAGCTAAGAAAATTCCTCAGCGAGTGGAATGGGGAAACTGAGACAGATAGTTAAACAGTCGATCAATTTACAGCCAGATAATAAATTGTTCAGTCTTATCTTCCCTAACCAAGGACAATTAGGAGTAAATGATTTACCCATTCCAGACTGTGCTAGGGGCAGACCCACCTTAGTCTGGGTTCTTTTCTGGTGATTTAAGCACCGCTGGGATCTGTGGGTGTGTGTGAATCTGTTTGACTCCCTAAACTGCTCCTTCTCTTTCTTAAAGTTACTTTTGTCTTTCACTCATTCTACAATTATATATTGAGTATATACTTTGTTATAGACACTGGGGATGCAGTGTAAACAAAACAAAAAGAAATTCCAGTTCTTATTGAGCTTACATTCACTTGTGGTTTCTATTTTATTTGATTTCCTAACTAAAAGTTTACAATCATATCAGCATAATGTATCAGGTAATTCTCGAGGTGCTGGAATATTGATTCCAAGACATTTACTGACAGAGGAGTGGATCTGCAAAAAATGACTTCACTGTGAGATTTTGAAATATCTCTTGTGCAATTTGTTCTCAGTTCATTTATAGAACAGGCATTGTATGCTGATTAACATTTATTGAACTGAGAAAAGTCCTATTATAATCTCTATGTGTTAGCTCTTTATGTGTATATACCAGGTAAGTTAATTATCATCTTTAAAATCAGAGAGCAAAGAAAAGATGGAAACAGGATGCAAATGACTGAAGTGGGTCTGACTGTTAGTTAATATTCTATTTATTTTTTCCTAAAAATGGATTCTGGTGTGATTGCAACAGACATTGTTCCACTCCCTATTGTCTCTACTAGCAGATATGTAAATCTGACTAGCCTCTGGCATTTAAAATACTTTAGTCTAAGTGTTGATGGGAGAGGCCACAGATCAGCAAATCTATTCGTGTGTAATCAGTTTATTAGTGACCCATTCCCATGGAAGAGAATGGGATTGGGTAGAGCAGGGGGTGAAAGGCAAAGTTTCAGGGCAGAGCAGGGCGGCAAAAGTAAGAGTGGCTGAAGACTAGGATGGCAAGCCCTCAGGCAGCCTGAGCCCCGGTGGCCAGTGGCCCAGTGGCCCAGAAGCCAAGAGTGCCCTGAGGCCCTGAGAGAGAGAAAGCAGGTCCTTTGTTCTGACAACTTATATAGTTGGTGGAATAGGAGGGAAAAAAGTTACATATTGATTAACAGGTAAATGTGGTGCCAGCTTTCCTGGGGGAATGTGACTATCCAAACTTAGGTATGTGTGGGGGTCTGTCAGCCTGAATCCTTATCTTGCTCCAGACTCCATTTGTTCATCTTGTTATAAAATAAATATGTGACAGGAGGCAGTTAATTAAAATTGGGGCACTTTCCCAAGTTATTTATGGGCTCTTTCTGTGAGCATCAGGAACTCACTCATAAAACAAATAGTGACCAGAGGTAGACAATTAACCAAAGTTGTTTTATGGGCTTCTTTGGGCACTGTGGACCCTCTCCTGCATTCCAGGCCTTGGGATGAAAGAACAGTTTCAAGGCTTTCTCTCCCAGATAGTGGAAATGCTACATTGAATTTCAAGGACTTCCCTTCTTTCTTGCTAACATAGTGTTTCTTGTGATATTGGAACACCTTGGCAATTTTATCAGACCAGGCTAA